TTGTTTTAGATATTCTGGATAACTGGAAATTTGTAGTAGAATTCTAAGTAAATATTTAACAGCACGTTTTTCTAGTTCATCTGGTTCTGGATCTAGCAAAGCTCCGTAAAACGATAAAAAAAGTTCTGTAAAGTACTGTATTGCTATTGATTTTTCATTGATCTTATCCTCCAGAATATGTTTCATTACATATGTATTTGCGAAAGCACGATCTAATAATTCCAGCAATTCTGATAAATGATATCCATCAGATTTTAATTCAACATCTTGATTAGCATCCTTACACGACTGATATAAAATTTCACTAGTATCAAGAATGAGTTTTTTGTTTTCTTCCGATTGTTCATCAGTGGTAGCTAGTGCGATCAATACCCGACCATAACTTTTTGTCAACTCGCTATTGTTTTCATTATAGATTAACTGCTTATGCTTCATCAAAATGTCGAACGTTTTTTCTGTACGAAGCTGTTTTAAGCCTGTTTTGTCTCTTGACAGATTGTAAACAATGTTAACTATTGGAATACCAATATCAATGATATGAAACGCAAATCTATGTGTACGAATCCATTGGATAATTTTTTGAATATAATCAACATCAACAAATATAGAAATTATTGCAAGTTTATCGGTCAGATTCCATACTAGAGATGAAATAGATTTTGTTACACGTAGTACACGCGAAGAAACATGTTCATTTGTGTTTGTTAGACAATTATTAATAAATTCTTGGAAAGAGATCATAAGAGAACTGTAATTGTTTCTAAATTCTTTATTCGACCGAATAACTACTTTAATAGCAAAGTTGCCAGCATGGATTAGGTATTGTGCCACGATATCGTGAAATTCAATGCTTTTTTCTTGTAAGGATTCTTCATTGGTGTCAATAGAATCTAAATAATTCAAAATATAAGTAGTGAAATGTATAGATCGAATGATGTTTGAGTCTTGTAATATATTACCTTCGGTTGTTGCTGTTTCATTTGAAAGAAGTCGCCGAAGGCAAATTTTAATAAAATCATCTTTGACAAGGTCCAGAAGTATTGAATCCAAAATATCAGTGGCAATCACTGGAGAATAATCTTTTTTAGTGTCAATACAATACATTAGATTATTCAATTTTTCAAACATTGACTGAAAAGGTTGTCGTGATATAAACAAATCAGATCCATCAATAGCGGAGATGCGTACAATTATATTAAATGTTGTAATGAGAAACATTGAACTTTTTTGAAACACCATTTGATCCAATATTCGACCAATATTCTTAGTTATATTGTTAAAGATTGTCTCTATTTCAGTGATATTCATACTATACAAATTAGTTGATAAACTTGAAAGTTTATTGATTTCTTGAAGCAGATTGAGATAATTAGGTTTTGTTGTTTCTAATGTTGCGTAGTCAAGTTCTTCCATCTAAAACAAAACTTCGAATATATATTAAAAAATCGTCCATTTTTCGTTTTCTTCGTCACTGATTATAAATGCTAAATACGTATTCGATTTCGATCATCTAAACTGGATTTGTTGTCTGTAATATGAAGCATTAATAAACATATAGTAAAGGAAAGAAAGAAAGAAAGAAAGGAGTGGTACCGTATTCATTCGTAAAAAGAAAGACACAAGAAGAAGATTACTTATTTAAATATGTGTTTACCTTTTGTATAAAAAAATATGGTTGATAGAATGCAAATGTACTTTTTTCTTTCTGCTATTGCCGCCATGCATTTCTTACGTTTCAAACTGTCAGCTGCATCCATTTTTTTTTCTAAAATTGTAAGAGATGAATACTTGATATTAAATCATGAATTCATTAATTCAAACTGATATGATATTGAATAATGTATGTGTCCTATAGTTCTATTATTTTTCTCATTTTTTATGTCTTATTAGCCAATACCTTGGAGAGCTGCTATTGAGCGGTTGAAATTTCAAAAGCGATCTTGTACAACATTCATTCCAAAAGAGTAAGTATATGTGATTATGTGAAAATTTTATTAATGAAATATTATTCGATAAATTAGGACAAATAAAGAATGTTGCGTTTGCAGTTATACTCATCCGAAAAGTGACGTCCCACATACAAATGATGGAATTGGAAAATGCACACAGAACAAGAAGTTACTTATTGTTATGGAATATTACCTCAATCAACTAGTCCTGTACGTTGTATTGTTCTCTAATAAAAGAAAATGATTTCGTTCTTTTTTTTTTCCTCTTAATACAGTTTTTACGATGTGATGTTGAAACAGACCTTGAACAGCTTTGTTTCGTATTGTTGGGTGTATGGGGTGTGGCTATTCCTGGTCTTATTATGCGAATGATAGGTGATATAGATACAACGCCAAATATTAAAGTAGAGAAAGAACTTTTACAAAGTATTTCTGATGCTGCTGTTACATCTGGTAAGTAAACACAGTATTAATAAACTCATAGAAGAATACGTTTATCTAGATGCATGGATTATTACAAATGGGTACAAGGAAGAGAGTATTTCGGAATTAGTTGGTGAAGTAATGTACAATTGTCGAATGAATAATTCTCATATAAACTTCAGCGCAATTGCTGTTGGTAAATGGGGCAGTATTCATAATTGTCATAAACTTGATGAAAGGTTTGATCAATTTATTT